ATATGTACATATATATATGTGAGAAGATAAGCGATTGCTTTTCAAGAAAAGCATAGACTCAACGCATTTCGTTCGCTCTCTAAGAGTGTGATTAAAAGAGAGACGCAGAGCAAAGAGCGTAGACCAATGCGAATAACGGACTGGCCAACGGCCAGCGGCAGAGTGCCAAGTGCGCACATTAAATTGCAAACTCGTTTTTAGTTTTGCTCTCCGCTTCACTTCCATAATAACTATATTACAACAACAACAATAACGAATGATTGTCAGCAATAGTAGTAGTAGTAGTAGTAGCAGTAGTAGCAGCAGCAGTAGCAGCCGCAGCAAGTGATACAAGGCACGTACGTATTTCAAACGAAACATCGAGATGTTGTTTGGTCGCTGATTTTCAAGACTGAACAGCAGAGTGAGCGAACAAGCGAGCATGCGAGAGTAATAAAACGAAAGAGCGCCAAACTGAGCGCGTACACAGGAGTGCATGTATGCGTGCGTATAGTATATGTGTGTGAGAGACACGACAACGACTACTGCTGTTGATCTACTCCGTCGCGTCACACTCGTCGACGTCGCTGTCTTAGCATTGTCCACGGGGCGGTGGTGAACGGTGTAATAATAAACGAGTGCACAGCAGCAGCAGCAGCAGCAAAGCAGCAACGGCAACGGCAACCACTTGAAAGCAACTCGTTTCGATTTCATTTAGCAGATACCTTTTGTACGTTGATTAAGATACCTTGGACACACAGACACGAGCAAAATTCATGTGAAAAAGGAAATAAACTGCAATTTTACAATACATATAGTTGCAAACAAAACAAAAGATATAATGCGTGAATAGTACAATGAATTACTGAATTCCAGTGTGCCAGTAAATGGGTTGATTAAATATAACGAAGCAAAATTCCTCAGTAAAAATGTCTTGAGTAAAAGTGTTGGCGTAAAAACCCAAAATACATGCATATCTCTCTATATAAAAGTGTATACTCACTCACACATGAGTAAATGAAAGACAACAACGACAACAGAAACAAAATAAGTGGTAAAAAGGCATTAAATATTTAACATTATTTCGAGTGAACTCTGTGCCTACAATTTTCGACATAGATAGTGGCAGTGTGTGCGTGTGCAAAGAAAGAGATATTCACACATATGTATATGCAACTAATATAGAAGTGGACAAAAAATATAATAAGCAGCAGAAGAAAAAAATATGTATATAAAAAATCAACGTACAAACACAGATGATTTTTAGCAAAAAATAAAAAAGCGAAAAGAAAAAAGATCAAGCAGCAACAACAACAACAGCAGCAGCAACAGTGAGTGCCAATCAAAACAGCAGTTGTCCCGCTTCTACACGTTGCGATCGACGAGAGCAAGAGAGCAAAGCCAACAAACCAGCGAGCGCGCACACACAACCAAAAACAGTCAAGCGACGTGTGTCCATATTGGTGTATGTGACAGTGTATGGGTGTGTGTGTGTGTGCGTATGTGTACGAACAGCATTGATTGCTCGCTCTGCTGTCTTTGATTTTGCTTGTGGCTGCCGCCGTCGCCGCCGCCTGACTTTTGAGCGCTTACACTCATACGCGACTTCAACTCATACACTGACAGAAGTTGAGCGAGCACCTGGCGCAGGAGTCATACTTTCAACTCAAGCGAGCAAAAGTTACAACAGCCATTCGCACGCCTCGCAAGCCTTACACACCAACATGACAAATCAGCAGCAGCAACAACAAGAAGAAGAATAGCAACACCAACAACAAAAGTACAAGCATACATGCCTACCTTAACCCAATTAAAATACATACCATATTATTTAACAAAAGAAATTGTGTTATTTGTAAGTAGCACACAAAGAGAGCAGCAACAACGTGGAGTGCAAATAAATATGAAGCAGACTTGACAACAGTTAAGAGGCAGAGATAGAGATAGAGAGAGCGCAGGAAAAGAAGAGAGAAATGATACCTATGTATACGGAAGTGAAATTCTCAAGCAACAGCAAAATTATTAAGAGTTGTGAATGTATTTGTATTCGTGCCTGCATTTCAAATCAAAAATTAAAAGAAAAGAAACGCAACGACAACGGCATCAGCARCAGCAGCAGAAGCAATAGCAACAACAGAAGCAAGTTTGCAGCGCAGCTCAAAACTCTCAAGAGAGCGAGCTCAGTTGCATACGCATACATGCACATATAGCTAGTTGTACTTGTGTTAATGTGTGGTGTGTTTTCTATGCATGTAAAGCTATGCATTTAGCTCGGTTCACGTCTTAGCAACAACGTAAATTTTACTTACGATTACAACATACTAAAAAACAAAACATTATTAAATTGTACAGAAACTGAAACAGCAATCAATTGCCATTGGCCCAGGCTTGTTCTACGTCACATTTGAGACCARGAGTGGTGCCAGCAGCAGCAGGAGCAGCAACATTCAAAATTCTGCAACGTCTCTAATCAAAGTGCATTCGAAAAAAAGAATTACAAACAACACTTCCAGTTAAAGTTACTTCCATAAGTTTCTTCCTTTTAAAAAATAATTAATTGTGCAACACTGGCGCGCCAGCCAAAAACAAGAAAACAAAATCAAATTTTTGCCATTCACCACGCAACGTCACAACGACTAAGCAGCCAACTTTATTAAACAAAAGTAACTAACGAGAGTAGTTCAAGTAATAAGACAAAATTAGCATTAACATTGTGATCCACATCCACACATCATCAAGAAGAGCATTTTTGTGGGGGGCGGACACGTTATGAGCAATTCGATTGCATCAACAAAATGCCTGCCCAATGTCTCGTTCTCGTCCGGCAATTATGGTATGTCACAAAGCCACCGTTACACCGATGATACAAAGGAGTACATATTCCTCAAGCTTACCGACTCTGCCTACCGTGCCATCGAGGAGTATCAAAGAAATGAGAATGCCAAACGATTGGCGCCCGGCCAATGTGCCAAAATTCAATGCAATGGCAACACTGGCTTCATCCACTTCCCGCTGCCCAGCAGCGATAGCAGCAATTCTGTTAATAACGGCAGCGGGAGCGGGATGGAAGCAGGACGCAAATTTGGCTTTACCATTGACGATCTGGAGGGCACATTGGAGTGCATACAACAGCAGCAGCAGGAGCTCGATGTGCTTGGAGCATTGGCGCGACGCATGCGTATCCATGCCAACGATGATGTCTACGACACGACGCGCTCGAAAATGGCTCGAGTTGAGGAGACGGAGAAGAGCAAATGTATACGGGAGATCAAGCCAAATCAATCGGATATTGGGCGTAAGGTGAAGAAGCCGGCCTCGGCATCTTCACATCACAGTGGGAACAACAACAGCAACAACAACAGCAGTAGCAGCAATAGTTTTAACAGTAACAATAGTCGTAAGTTAGTTTCATCGCCATTTAATGGTCTGACGTCATCATCAGTTGCAACAGCAGCCACAGCCGTAGCAGCAGCAGCAACATCAATCGCCTCACGCTCGCCCAATCCCAATATCTTGGGAGCCAGCGGCACAGTCAATGGCAGCCGCAGCACAGCCCTGGCCAACACATTCGCCAATGGTATCTCCCAGGGTTATGCGCTGAGCGGCAGCTCGCCGAGAGACAGCAATAGCACAACAGCAGGAACAGGTGCGGGGACAGCGCTGGGTGGATCCTTCAACAGCAATGGACGCAATAAAATGCTCAATGGCAGCGGCAGCAATTCGCGCAGTGGCAACACCAAATCGGGTGGTGCGAACGGCAACGGTGGTGGCAATGGCAACAAAATGTCCGATGTATCGCGGCGCAGCATACGTGAGCGATTAATACATTTGCTGGCATTGAAGCCGTTCAAGAAACCAGAGCTTTATGCGCGCCTCAAGAACGAGGGTATCAAGGATCGGGAGCGCAATCTAATTGGCAATATACTCACGGACATAAGCACCATGTCTCACAATACCTTCAATTTGAGGCGCCAGATGTGGAACGATGTCGATGAGAACTGGCCGTTCTTTAGCGAGCAGGAACTGCAGCAACTAAAGCGTCGGAAGCCACAGAATCTGACGCCTCCAATGAGCTCTGATGCAGGCAGCTCAACTTCCGGTCAAAGTCCAACGTCCACCCATACAGGTAGTCCGCCGCCCCTGCTCAGCATGCCCTCAAATGTGGTACCACAAATGGCCAACCATAGTGGAGGACCAGGCGGCATCGGTGGCAACAGCCTGAAGCGGAGTAGCATTGAGTACGACGAAATGTTCAGTACGGTGCATCCGAAAAAGCAGCGCATCAGTCACTATACAAGGGAGGCGGGACCACAATTTACATCGTCCTCCTCATCGTCCGTTGGCTGCCCCTCTGGCAACTCCTCGGGCTCATCGTATCGCAATCGAACGGCTGCGTACACGCCACCGCAGCGACAGCAGCCACAGCTGGAGGATCACAGCAGCAGCGATTTAACATACAGCGTGCTGGACAACATGGACGAGTTTAGGAGCATGACAGCGGCAGCTGCTGTGGAGCAACATCAGCAACGAAGCAGCAGCAGCAACAGCAACAGTAGGCGTGGCAGCGGCAGCTCATCCAAGCAAAGCACGAGCATCGGCGGCCCCATTGACAAGCGCAACTCAACGGGCAGCAACTCGAGCAGCTCCAGTGGCTACGAGACTCAGCAGGAGCGCAATAGTCGCCAGGCATCGACAGTGCAGCAGCAGCCGGCGCACAGTCGAAAATCGTCAACAACGCCGCCCAAATTGACTGCTAGTTTTGTTCGTCAGTCAACGCCGACAGCAGCAACGCAGCAACAGCAGCAGCAGCAACAACAGCAGCAGCAGCAGCAACGGAACAGCTTCAACAGCAGCAGCAACAACAACAATAACAATGCGCACGATGAGTACAATTCATACAACAACAACACGCATGCCGCGTCCAACAGCAAGAAGCGCACGAGTAGCAGCAACAGCAACGGGCAACGTCAGCGTAGCAGCAGCAGTAATACTAGCAGCAACACGTATGCACAGCAACAACAACAGCAACAGTTGCCAGCGCCTGCGCAGGCGCAACAGCTCCATCATCACCAACAACAGCAGCAGCAACAACAGCAGCAGCCTTATCATTATAATCGCGAATCTGGATCAAGTGGTGGTAGCAATCATGGAACCACTGCGAAACATCCATCGCCCACACAGCAACTGGCAGCGGCTGCGCATGCGTACGCAGCGGCAACAGAGGACGCTGATGCGAATGCCACGCCCCGTTATGACTTCAGCCAATATGCGCCCATACGCACGCTGGAGGTGCGCAGACGCTACAAGACTGAATTTGAGAGCGACTATGATGAGTACCGCAAACTGTTGACCAGCGTGGAGGATGTGCGCAATCGTTTCCAGGATCTGTCCACACGCTTGGAGGGCGCCCGGCGACGCGGTGGCGGCGACTACGATCAAATCAAGCGCCAGATTGTCAGCGAATACGAGCGGATCAACAGCGATCGCAACATCCACAACGATAAGCTCAGATTTGACTACTTGCACGCGAAGTTGGCGTACATCAAGCAGCTGGTGATGGATTACGACAAGACTTTGATTTGTCGATCGGCAGCAGCCTCGGCAATGCCAGAGGCAGCAGCCGCACCGCCACCAACTGCAGCTGAAGCGCAGGCAGAAGCTGCAGCAGCAACAGCACGTTTGGCGGAAAGCAGCAGCATGCAACAGCAACAGCAACATCTACAACACCAGCAACACCAGCAGCAACAGCAACAGCAGCAGCATCGGCAACAGCAGCAACATCATGCAGTGGAAACGATACAGCAGCAACAGCAAGCACAGCAACATTACATCAACAACAATCACAATAACAACATTAACAACGGCAGCCACGAGAGCGATTCGGATGACAGTTCTGGCAGCTCCGATTCCAATGATGATGATGAYGATGATTGCGATGATTCCAACTCCAATACTGATGATGACGAACGCTACTGATTAAATGGATAATCCAACAACAACAATCGGCAACAACATAAAGCTACTTCTTGATGAAACGATACAAAACAACAACAAAAACACCAGCGACTGCAGCTGCAGTTGCAAAACAATGTAAAAAGGCAAAAAAAGAAACTATTATAAATAAATATATATTA